GAGCGGCAAATGCCACACGCATTTGTAACCATCCTATCCATTTTCGCTTTGATATGAAGAGAATTCAAAGTTAATGGAGGGGTTGTTCTACTACTTTATCTACTCATTTAAATACTTTAGTAAATACAAAAAATAAATAGTTGCACTTTTTGTAAGGAAATGTAAGGAAATGTATGTTATTTGTTTTTTTTTTTTTTGAAGAAAATGAAGTTTTTAAGGGTGAGTTCTGGTAGGAGTCCGGTGGGGTTTCGTGTTAGCCAACGTTGCGATTTGCAGATACAAGCGGTGAGCGAGGATTATCCCACTTTTACGGAGCACGCCAACGGTCGAGACTGCATTTGTTATGTAAATTCAACAGCGCGGCGGGCGGCCTCACCGGTGGCGTCCGGAGGGGTGCAAGAACTACGACCCTCGGAAATTGGAATGGGAAGGAAGATGCTATGCCGGATAAGCGGATCGCTTCGGCTTAATTTCGGAGTTATTGCGTCTTATCGTAACTGCCGATCACAAATTCAAAATCTTCTTAGGCTTGTACAGATTAGGCTATTGAAAAATTTTTGATTTAAAACAACTTTGGACACAATTAGTAGTAGGTTTTAGTGTCCAGAAGATGATTCCAGTATGCAGTGATTGAGTGCAATACCTGTAATGACTCATCGAAGTATCTAGAAGTTACCAATCAAATTCAATATATTATTCCGGCATCCAGTAGATCATTTCAAAACCTTCACCTACACTTTATTGTGCTAGACATCATTTATATCAGACTTTAGAGGAAAAAGGGGGCCGCCAAAATTGTTGAAATTGGTTCTACCAAAAAAGCAACAACGATAATAAATTCTTTAACAGTTGAAATTTGGCATTCTCTATATAGCTATCTCTATATGCTGATCCATAAAGTATAGAGAGAAGTGATCTGCGATGACGAAGTTGGCAATATAATAATTTTTGGCTCATGTAGTATCATTAAGGTCATGCCTACAACACACATGTTCTACGATTTTAGAAGTTCTCGATATTTGCCCTTCATTGTGTGTTCAGTACCTCAAGGTTAGCTATTGTATGTAACTCTATGGTCACGAAACTCGATAATCAACGTAAACCCATCCAAAAAACTTTAATTTTTCACAATTTCGATTATATTCAAAACACTGTATCTCAGAATCTAAAGGTGATTTTGCAAAATGGGATTTATCATTGAAAAGAGGACACTTTCATTAATGTGAACAAACAACAGAGTTCTTTTGGAGAGCTGATTTTTCCCAATTTTCTAAAGTGATTTCAAAAAAATTTTAAACTTGTCATAATTACGATTATGTTCAAAACATTGTATCTCAAAAACAAAAAGTAATTTAGTAAATCTGATTTTGTCGTTAGAAAGAGGATGCTTTAATTAATATATGGTGAAAAATACATAAAGATTTTCGAACAAATTGATTTTTCTCAAGATTTTAAAGTTACCCCAAAAAATTTTAATTTTCCATACTTTCGATAATTTTCAAAACACTGCAAAACACTCTCAGAAACTAAAGGTGATTTTGCAAAATGGGTATTGTCGCTAAAAAGTGGATACTTTTATTATTAAGTAGTGAAAAAGCAACAGAGTTCCTTTGGCAAGCTGATTTTTCCCAATTTTCTAAAGTCAATTCAAAAAATTTTATTTATTTATTTTTTTTTTTAAATACGATTATGTTCAAAACAGTGTATCTCAAAACCTACAAATAATTTAATAAATCTGACGTCTTCGTTAGAAAAAGGATGCTTTAATTAATATATGGTGAAAAATTCGTAAAGATTTTTCAACAAATGGATTTTTCCCAGCATTTTAAAGTTACCCAAAAAATCTTAATTTTCTATCATTTCGATTATGTTCAAAACACTGTATCTCAGAATCTAAAGGTGATTTAGCAAAATGGGGTTTATCAATGAAAAGAGAACACTTTCATTAATAAGTAGTGAAGAAGCAACAGAGGTCTTTTGGCAAGCTGATTTTTCCCAATTTTCTAAAGTCAATTCAAAAAATTTTAGAATTGTCATAAATACAATTATGTTCAAAACAGTGTATCTCAAAACCTACAAATAATTTAGTAAATCTGACGTCTTCGATAGAAAAAGGATGCTTTAATTAATATATGGTGAAAAATTCATAACGATTTTCCAACAAATGGATTTTTCCCAGCATTTTAAAGTTACCCAAAAAATCTTAATTTTCTATCATTTCGATTATATTCAAAACACTGTATCTCAGAATCTAAAGCTGATTTTGCAAAATAGGGTTTATCGATGAAAATAGGACACTTTCATTGATAAGTAGTGAAGAAGCAACAGAGTTCTTTTGGCTAGCTGATCTATCCCAATTTTCTAATGTCAATGTAAAAAATTTAAAACTTGTCATAAATGCGATTATGTTCCAAATATTGTATCTCCAAAACTAAAAGCAATTTAATAAATCTGACTTCTTCTATAGAAAGAGGCTGCTTTAATTAATATATGGTGAAAAATTCGTAAAGATTTTCCAACAAATTGATTTTTCCTAACATTTTAAAGTTACCTACCCCAAAAAATCTTAATTTTCCATAATTTCGATTATGTTCAGAATACTGTATCTCAGAATTTAAAGCTGATTTTACAAAATGAAATTTCTCAATGAAAAGAGGACACTTTCATTAATAACTAGTGAAGAAGGAACAGAGTTCTCTTGGCAAGCTGATTATTCCCAATTTTCTAAAGTCAATTCAACAAATTTAAAACTTGTCATAAATACGATTATGTTCAAAACATTGTATCTCAAAAACTAGAAGTAATTTAGTAAATCTGACGTCTTCGTTAGAAAGAGGATGCTTTAATTAGCATACAGTGAAAAATTCATAACGATTTTCCAACAAATTAATTTTTCCCAACATTTTAAAGTTACCCCAAAAAATCTTAATTTTCCGTCATTTCGATTATGTTCAAAATACTGTATCTCAGAATTTAAAGCTGATTTTACAAAAAGAGGTTTATGAATGAAAACAGGACACTTTCATTAATAACTAGTGAAGAAGGAACAGAGTTCTTTTGGCAAGCTGTCAATTCAACAAATTTAAAACTTGTCATAAATACGATTATGTTCAAAATACTGTATCTCAAAAACTAAAAGTAGTTTAGTAAATCTGACTTCTTCGTTAGAAAAAGAACGCTTTAATTAATATATTGTGAAAAATTCATAAATATTTTCCAACAAATTGATCTTTCTCAAGATTTTAAAGTTACCCCAAAAAATTTTAATTTTCTGTAGTTTCGATAATTTTCAAAACACTGTATCTCAGAAACTAAAGGTGATTTTGCAAAATGGGGTTTGTCATTAAAAAAGTGGATACTTTTATTATTATGTAGTGAAGAAGCAACAGAGTTCTTTTGGCAAGCTGATTTTTCCCAGATTTCTAAAGTCAATTCAAAAAATTTTAGAATTGTCTTAAATACGATTATGTTCAAAACATTATATCTCAAAAACTAAAAGTAATTTAGTAAATCTGACTTCTTCGTTAGAAAGGGGATGCTTTAATTACTATACAGTGAAAAATTCATAACGATTTTCCAACAAATTGATTTTTCCCAACATTTTAAAGTTACCCCAAAAAATCTTAATTTTCCGTCATTTCGATTATGTTCAAAATACTGTATCTCAGAATTTAAAGCTGATTTTACAAAATGAGATTTATCAATGAAAAGAGGACACTTTCATTAATAACTAGTGAAGAAGGAACAGAGTTCTTTTGGCAAGCTGATTTTTCCCAATTTTCTGAAGTCAATTCAACAAATTTAAAACTTGTCATAATTACGATTATGTTCAAAACATTGTATCTCAAAAACTAAAAGTAATTTAGTAAATTTGGCGTTTTTGTTAGAAAAAGGAAGCTTTAATTAATATACAGTAAAAGATTCATAACGATTTTCCAACAAATTGATTTTTCCCAACATTTACCCCAAACAAATTTAATTTTCTATAATTTCAATTATGTTCAAAGCACTGTATCTCAGAATCTAAAAGTGATTTTGCAAAATGCTATTTGCTATTGAAAAGAGGACACTTTTATTAATAAGTAGTAAAAAAGCAGCAGAATTCTAGGTCTAGTGCTAGCTCTGAAGATTAAGTAAATAAAATAATAGATAGTTTAAAATAGAATTTTCATTTATTAAAAACTTTCTTTTAAATCCAATTTAGATAGTCTTTAAAGAACTTGTTTCCGGTAACAAAGTCAAACAATGAGTTTATAACGATGGAAATTGAGAAAGTTTCTTACATTTCAAAGTCAATGTTAAAATATTAACTTTAAAGTTAATTTTCCGCAGTACAATCCTCACTACTTAGTGCCATTAAAAAAATTCTTTGCAAAATAACCCAATTCAAGTTTTGAAAACTTATACTTAAACCCACATAAAATATTAGCACATATTACACGGGGGAAGTTCAAAATATCAACTTTAATGAGCAAGCGTCAGAACTTGGACAATCCTAAAGTTAGTGGGCGAGTTTAGCTCCGAAACTTTTTCTCGGGCTAAAAGAAAAAGAGGGAAGATGAGAAAGAGACGTTTTCTATGATGTTCGCGTCGAAATACATAATTCATCTCGCTTAAAAGTGCTGGATCGTTGTGTAATTTTTTTTGTTTCAGCTTTTTGGTCACCTTAAAACGAGCGGAGGTAAAAATCCACGATGCAATAATCAATACTGCACATAGCAGGTAAAAATGGGGTGAGAGAGAAATTGTAGGTAAATATTAAAGTGAGATTTAACGTTTGAGTTTCGAACAGAATCGCGTTAAAAATAATTTAAAACAGGTTTTGCGTCCGATAAACAATTTCAATTAAAAGTTCGAGCGTGGACGCAAAAATCCCAATGCATTAACGACTCGAATTTATATTGAAATTGGCCTACATTTTTATTAAAAGTAATAACTAAAAATTATTTTTTCGAATTCAAACAGTGTTAAATTATTTTTTTTTTAAATCCACAACTTACCTTGATAAACAAACTTGAATTCACAAAAAAACATTAACACAAAGCAAAAATAACTGAACCAATGAAAAAAATTAATTAAAAGTCTACACGAAAATAAATCTACCATTTTTTCATATTAAAACTTTTTTCATTCAATAAGAAATTTTATTGCTCTATTCGAACGAGAATTTAAATTTCCCCCAAAAAAAGAAAAGTTTCAGGAGCCTCCGTCCGGGTGTCCTGAAATCTACTGAAACCCAGCGGTTAGATTCGCTCGTATTTCAACGGAATAAAACGCACGCATGCGCTGACCTAGTTCCTTAACAATTTCCGTTTTCGAACATCCGGTGTGTACAAGAACCTCGTCTTCTTCGTGCTTTATTAAATTAGACCCACCGCTTTGTTAATGAGTTTTTAACGAAATCTCACTTTTATCATCTTTTCGTGGGATAAATTCAAAATTTTCATACCCTAATTCTTTAGGAGAAATCACAAAATTGCACGCAGGAATAGAAAGGATACCGAAAGAATTACAATAAGGTGTCTTTTCGCAATCGAGTCCCGGTCTAATATATTCAACCGGACGGAGTTTGAAACAAACAAATTTCGAGAGCGACCGTCGCGTTTCAGGTGGAAGGATAACAACCGAGAAGTTTACTATGTCGTTTTGTTCGCCGACCAAGTTTGTCTTTCACATATATCGGGTATAAAGTTTAGGAAGTTTATTGGAAGTCGAAATCTAACTAATTTTAAAGCAAAAGTAAATGTTGAGTGTGGAGGTGGTAACTTTATGTTCGCTGATTTAATTTATTTGGGGTTATTTAATACATAGATTGATTTTAAAAAATTGGGAAAAATTTATTTGTTGGAAAATCTTTATGAATTTTTCACTGGATATTAATTAAAGCATCCTCTTTATACTTACTTTACTTTATACTACTTTATTTATTCTCCATTAGAAAGAGAATACTTTACTCTTTCTAATGAAGAAGTCAGATTTAGTAAATTACTTTTAGTTTTTGCGATATATCATGACAAGTTTAAAATTTGTTGAATTGGTTTTAGAAAATTGGGAAAAATCAGCTTGTCAAAAGAACTCTGTTGCTTTCTAACTACTTATTAATAAAAATGTCCTCTTTTTAATCCACCCCAACCCAAACCAACCCCCACTTTGCATAATCACCTTTAGATTGTGAGATAGTGTTTTGAAGTTAATCCATATTATGGAATATTAAGATTTTTTGGGATAACTTTAAAATATAGAATAAAAGTTCATAGGTTGAATCGATGTATAAATTTCTTTATTAAATCAGTGCAACATATGTTTCGAATCTAATGATTCTTCTTCTTTGGTACAACTAAAATAAAGAATAAACAACAGGAAATAACATGTAAGTATTGCATAAAGTATTAAAGTTAAAATTATAAAATATAATAAAGGTAATTTACCGTCAAAAATATTAGGTTGTTTGATGGAATTGAACATTCAAAACCGTTTGTGAAACATTAACGAGAAAACAGGTATCACATCGAAGGTTAAATATACAGTGTGTCCCCGGATTGTGTCCCCGTAAGGTATAATTGACGATAAATTTTTGAATTCACATTCCATCTTTTGCAATTAAAGTCTGGATGTTATAAAACGAAATTTAACCAAGTTTTACGTCAAATGTCCTCGAAGTACCAAAGTTAACACAAGAAGTTTGTTAATTATTGTAGGTAAAGTGGTCTTTCTGAGCAATATACAACAAAAATTGATTAAGATAAAATGTTTATTATGTTGTATTATAGCGATATGCCGAATTTTATTGCATTTTACTGCAAAATGCAAATTTTTAAATCATAAGATTAACAAAACATTTTCGATCTAAACTAAATTAACATAAAAGCTTATTCAATGATACTACCACCAACACTAACACATAATTCAGCCCTTTTCATTGTTTATAACTTTTTCTAATATGGTAAAACGGAATTTCTCTAATAACAGTTTCAATTTTGTTTTAAATAAAAATCTAAATTGTCTAAATTGTTATTAAAATATTCAGTGTACACTTTTTGTTTTACATAGCCCCAAAAATAAAAATCCATAATAGATAAATCCGGACTTCGTGGCGGCCATGGTTGCGGACCATATCCATTTTTTTCCAAATAACGTATTTAAACAATTTCTAATTAAAATGGTCGAATGTGGGCCGTAACCATCTTGTTGAAAATATAATTTATTGCGTTTTTCTAAATCCACGCAGTGAAGATAATTAAATAAACAATTTTCTAGTATTTCCAAATATCGGTGTTGATTCAAATTGCAGTTTATAACACCGTCCCACGAAACAGCACACCACACATTCACTTTCTGGGAATACTGGCGTTTACAAGCTATGGGATAATGTGGATTAGTCTTTGACCAGAATCGACAATTTTGTGATGTAACCACTCCATTAGTGGTGAACGATGCTTCCTTCGAAAATATTATGTTTTTTAAAAAAGTTCTGTCTTTCAAAATTTTGTACCCAAGCCACAAACAATAATCTAAACGTTTTGCTTCCTCACCTAATTCGATAGAGTGGTTAAATTTTGGTTTATACGGCAATATTTTATTTTCTAGATAAATTCATTGTAAATGGGATTTACTTATACCGACTTGACTTGATCTTTTTTTTAACGACACCTTACCGTATGCCAATGCGTTCGTTACTGCAACAATCGACCCCGCATCATGTTAATCTAAAAGCTGTTTTTCCTTCCTTTTATTTTCCACATTGCCCGTTTCCGAATTTTTTAACAACTCTCTTAATTGTTTTTTATCTAAAGATCCAAATTTTTCCTCAAATTGCCTTAAAACTACATTGTAACTAATGTTCCTCAATCCATACCACTGCACTGCAAATATTTTATGTTGTAATGCAAACATGATCAATTAATATTTGACAATAGGCTAAAGCTAAGCTATCAAATGATAATTGTTAGTTGACACAGATCATTTGTTTTATTGTAAAACGGAATATTAGAAAAAAATTTTCAAGAAAAACCTCATTTTTTCTTTTATATGCTAAATTAATAAAATTCGGCATATCGCTATTATTTAACATAACAAACATTTTATCTTAATCAACTTTTGTTGTACATTGCTCCGCCAACTCTAGCAATGGAGGTTCTGCTTGGCCTATCTCCTCTGCATTTGCATATAGAGAAAGTGGCTAGAACAACCATTTACAGATTTAAGCAATATGCTCAAAACTGTTCCGACATGTCCTACCAATGGGCTGCGGAAGACATTATAAGCACTGATACTGTGCTATCAATGCCGTCAGATTTGGCGGTATCACCATCAGTGATTAATGCTCGATACCAGATTGTACTGCCTGAGCGGCAGTCCTGGATCGAAAATGAAAATTCTCTGGTTCGGGCAGACATTTGCTTGTACACAGATGGATTAAAAACGCCTGAAGGGGTAGGAGCAGGAGTATACTGCCAGACACCTCGAATTAAGCAAGCCTACAGCCTGGGTACGTACTGTACTGTATTCCAGGCGGAACTATTTGCTATTGACATGGGTGCTAAAATCCTTCTTGAAAGAGGGGTGAAGAACATGACAGTACGAATCTTCTCAGACAGTCAAGCCGCTCTCCAGGCGCTGCAAGCCGTGAAAACGGTGTCGGCTCTGGTTAATGATTGTAAGAGAACATTAAACACACTGAGTTGTGATAACAGAGTCTCTCTGATCTGGGTCCCGGGTCACTCTGGTGTTGCTGGCAATGAAGCGGCAGATAAGCTAGCACGAGATGGCAGCGCTGAAGCGTTTGTGGGACCGGAACCAGCAGTTGGTGTATCATTTGCGATGGCCAAATATAGGATTGGACTGTGGGCTGAAGAGAGACTTCGCCTACTGTGGACCAGTTCTCCTGGAATGAGACATGCTAAGGTGTTTATTAACATCGCCACTGTCAAACCCGGGAATATTTTAGGACTTGCCCGTAGTAGCATAAAAGTTCTAATGGGAGTTTTTACTGGGCACTGCCGATTAAAAGCACACCTCAACTTGTTGGGTTTAACCGAAGATGTTGAATGCCGACTATGTGCGGAGGAAGCAGAGACGGTTGAGCATGTTTTATGCCACTGCCCTGCCGTTAACCGTATCAGATTCTCGATTTTTGGGTCGCAGTTTATCTCCTCAAAAGATCTGAATGACCTTTCGCCGAGCAAGGTATTAATGTTCGTTAAGAGCATTGGACTGCACGGTGAAATTTTATAATGATATCTATCGGGGTACAATAGATCCTTAGGGTCGCGGTGCAAGGTTGGTTGGTCTGCCTACCCGATATGTATTCTATGTAATGTAATGTAATGTAATGTACATTGCTCAGAAAGACCACTTTATCTGCAACGGTTAACAAACTTCTTACGTTAACTTTGGTACTTTGAGGATATTTGACGTAAAACTTGGTTATATTTCGTTTTATGACATCCAGACTTTAATTGCAAAAGATGGAATTTGAATTCAAAAATTTATCGTCAATTATACCTTACGGGGACACAATCCGGGGACACACTGTAGATAGAAGGAGAAAAGTGGAGTCCAATTGAGCATGTGCGGTGGTTATAGGTTTTTAAAATTTATATTGTTCATCGGGAAATATGTGAAAAGGCAGTTATTTTTATACAGGAAATTCAAAAAGTGTCGTTCATTATTTAAAACTAACTTTAAAATGTCGGGAAAATTCAATTTGTTGGAAAATCTTTATGAATTTTTCACCATCTATTCTAACGAAGAAGTCAGATTGACTAACATAAGTTACTTTTTGCTTATGAGATAGAATGTTTTCAACGTAATCGTATTTATGACAAGTTTTAAATTTTTTGAATTGGCTTTAGAAAATTGGGAAAAATTAGCTTGTCAAAAGAACTCTGTTGCTTCTTCACTACTTGTTAATGAAAGTGTCCTCTTTTCAGTGATAACCTCAATTTTGCAAAAACACCTTTAGATTTTGAGATACAGTGCTTTGAACATAGTCGAAATTATGGAAATTAAGATTTTTTGGGGTAACTTTAAAATGTTTGGAAAAATCAATTTGTTGGAAAATCTTTATGAATTTTTCACTGTATATTAATTAAAGCATCTTCTTTCTAGCGAAGAAGTTAGACTTACTGAATTACTTTTTGTTTTTCAGATACAATGTTTTGAACATAATCGTATTTATGAC